AAACAATTAGAAGCAATTAAGACAAGTTAATAAATGTCTTGACTAGGTAAATTTTGAAACTGCGTTTCCTGACCACCAACAAGTTGAAATAGTATAATCCATATAAAGCCTGTATAGTTAACTCAGTCATCATTTCAGTTAGTCTGTGCTGCCCCATTAATACAATATAATACACACACATACAAGTATGCAACTACAACTTAATAAAAGTGTTGCAACGAATTTGTTAGCCAAATTGGAGCAACTACCAGCAGTTGGGACGCCCAGTGGCCACGCTAGTTCATTCATTAAATGCAAATTTAGTTAGTTGTCAATCATTGTTTTGTTACAATTGTTTGTTGTTTGGCCTCTTTATTTATGATCTCCACATTCTCTCTCTATTTCGCTAGGCGCCCAACTCTAGATGAGGGGGATGTCAGCGTTGGGCGGGCGGAGAGGGGGTGGACGGTGTATTTATTACAGCGCTTCAACGCAATTGCATTTTACGACTTCCTCGACCTGCATTATTATTAACCAGTTAGCAGTTGGCCGTCTCTCAGCCGCGGCAACTGATACGCTAAATGGCCAATATGTGACGCCAGCTTTGTCATGCACTCCCCCTCTGTCCCCGCGCTCGCCCTCACTCCGCCACACTTCTACTCCACCGGGCAGTAGCTGGTTTGTCGTTTGCCGCTTGTCGTTTAAACTGACTGATTTGTTTTTTCTATTTTCATTTATTTTGTATTTTTTTTTCTGCCTTCTTCAATATTTGCATGTTGTAATTTTTGTTATGCAGCTCCTCTGATGGAGGGGGGAGTGCAAGACAATGTGCAATTGTTAGCCGGGCAACAATTGTTGCCGCATTTTACAAGCAGCCGCACGGATTTAAGTGATTTGACGAGGTGTTTTCACAGCATCGTTAAATGTAAATAAATGTTATATTAATGGGCGCTATGAATTTATCTCCAAAGCGTTGACAAATTCAAATTTCGCAATCTGCAATTATTAACATGCTTAACATTGATTGCACGCAGCTATGCAAAGGCGGCCAAATATGTTTGCTTCTGATTCTGAGCGCGAACATATATATATATATATATATATATATTTCAATATTTGCTGTGGCTTCAATGGGAAAGTACATATTGCAAATGCCAGCAGCTTGTGCGTAGGAATTTCAAGGCACAGCTATGCAGCTATTTGCGTATTTACTGCATATTATCTATATTAGCTATGAATCAGTGGCAGAATGCGCGTTAAAGGCTGCCCCCGAACCGCTTTAACATGATTTCTTGTCGTGTGACCAAACAAGTTTGTTGCCTGAGTCTTTTGTTTAGGCACCGCCGCGGTCTATTAATAGCGGCCACAGCAGATTTATGAGCTGCCACAGCCTATAACCAAATCGACGTCGCTTGACAACGCAATCTCGGCCGCCTTTTAATTACTATTATTTCACCGTCTTGCCACATGCCACTCGCTCAGCCATTTCGCCGATCTGTTGTCATTGTGTGCCAGTCGTTGCCACATTTCGCTTGGCAAACATTGACAGCTTCTGGTGCGCAATTGGGCGGCGACCTTGCCGCTGGCTGCTCCACATCTGCAAACAGATGACCCACATGCCGGCAGAGATCAAGGCGTTGGCAGCAGCAGCAGCCGTATTAAATTTAATTCAGCTGATGCGTGCAACAACCTTTTGCAGCGCTGAGCTGCTTCACGCTTGGCAGCCAAACACTTCGGGCAACTCACGTGCTGCCTACAGTTGTTGTTGTTGTTTGTGTTGTTTACTGCGGTTGCTGTCATCGCTGTTGTTGTCGTTGTCTTGAACCTGAGCAGCGGCGCGCGTTAACTTAAGCCATAAATAAATAAATAAATAAATATTTCAGGCGAGTTTGTTTTTCTTTTCTTTTTTCTTTTTTGCCCGTGTGTAAACAAAAGATTTATTACAATAAGCATTTCTCATTTTATTATAACATATATTATATACACTGTTTTTTTTTTCGTTCGTTTTTCTTTCTTTTCTTTTTGCTGCCTTTTTTTTTTTTTTGTTTATCAAATTTATTTTTATTACTTCTTTTCAATTTGCAGCCCGTTCGTTTGTTTTGTTTTTGTGCGGCTTGTGCAATGCAGCTGCTGCTGCAACAGTTAAAACAACAACAACAGCAACATCAGCAGCAGCAACATCAGCAGCAGCAGTTGTTGACTGCGTCTTGCTTCACTTGTGCGTAAAGTGTTTGCTTGTTGTTGTTGTCTCCGTTTATTGTTGTTGCTATTAAAAATTTGAATTTCGCATGACACTTGCGTAGATTACATAAAGCGATGCGAAGCTGTGCGCAATTTGCAGCTGCCGTTGATTGGTTTAGTCCATCAGAGTAGAAATATTACGCATACGCCGCGTGCTGCGCGAAGGCGATACAATTGAGAGATTAGCTGGCCGGCGGGGGCACTCGCATTAAGGCCTAAGCCTAAGACACTTACAGCTCGCCATAAAACAAACAGCTTGATTGCGTTCGAGGTAACAAGACAACAACAACAACAGCAACAACAATGGCCACAGCATCAATTAAAACAAAGACATTTAACAATTTGTAAACGAGACAAAGCCACGAAAATCCAAAAGCATTTTTACATTTTGCATAATGCAACTTTTCACAATGCAGCTCGTCCATTTTTTTTCGGAGTTTTCAGTTTCGCATTTTGAGTTATGGAAATTGATTTGATAAAAAAAGAGCTTGTCACAGCTTCTTTGACATTGTGTTCATCTTGATTGGCTCGAACGCGGCTTAAAGAGACCTTCAGATGCCAACTGGCAATTGTTTCCCAATAATTGATGATAACTGCTTGCGGTTAATTAAAAGCTCAAACTAGTCTATATATCAACCTAAATAAGGAATGCTCAGATAAGAAGATAATTGTAAGAAATTAACCCAACCAATAAATAAAGCACAGCAAACACAACACCTCGATGCCAAACTGGATTTTGCACCCGGCAGCTAGATAAATTGTCCATTGCATAACATATTTATAACCAAATTTTGAGATTAATAAAGATTAAAGCTATAAAGTATATTTTAGAACTTCCTGGCAGAAGATTAAGTATAGCTAGATATAAGATGCATATGATTTGAACCGGCAACCAGCCACTTGTATATTTTTTTTTACTCTAATAACAAATTTGATTTTCGATTTGATTTGATAATAATCTTCCATTTTCAGTCCAAATACGATGCCCTTTTCAACTAAATGGTTTCGCCCAGTTGTCAATTTATTTACCTCAACAAAAACTTGGGGCGGGCCGCGTGCCACAACTGGATCTGTGAATTTGTGAAAAGCTGAGCGGCATCAATAAGAAAAACTCCCGTTTGTTGCGCTCCCCTTAAATGTTAGCATGAACTCGAACTTTTGGTTAAGTTAACATTTTGTTGTTGCAAAGTTACCTAATCTTCGCAATTGTGGCCGTGTCTGGCGTTCAGTTTTGGTATTGGCTGCAGCAACAGCAACAGCAACTGCCGCCAGTTGCTTCCTCGGCTGCTGTCGCCGCCGGCTGCTAACTAGACCTGCATACAACTGGGTAAGCCAAACAGCTGGTTGCTCTGTTGGCGCGGGAAGGGAGGTGGGAGGTGTGGGGTTGGATCACGTGTTAAACCGATGTCGGCAGCGGTTTTTGGCACACAAACACAGAGAGAGAGAGAGAGAGAGAGAGAGAGAGTGTGAGAGAGAGGGGAGAGACGCCAACGAGCGAGTCAATTAATGCAACATGTTGCAACAGCGGCGACCGAGTGACTTGGACTTCAATTGAATGCAGCAACTGAGGCTGCAGCGTCGTCGCCCCCTAACCCTAAACTGCGGCCCGCATTCAACATACAACATTCAACTTGAACAGGAAGTTAGGCCTTATTGTTGCTGCTTATCTGGCCGATGATGAGATGCTTCCTTGAGATTTATTTGGCATCTGCATCGGATGCACACAGTCGCAGTCGCAGCCGCAGTTGCAGTTGCAGTTGCGATTGCAAACGCTTTGCGGCAAGTTCATATGCATTGGCTTTGGCTCTTGGCTCTTGGCACTTGGCCTCTTGCTACTGCTGTTGTTGTTATTGTTGATGCGGGCTGATGCCGATTGCAGCAATCGTGAAGAAAAAAAACTTGCCCATTTTGGACATTGCGGGCGGCGGCGGAGCAACGCTTATCTAAGCCCCAACTTCCGCGTGTCATGAGGCCCGAAACTTTATGAGTTGCATCTTCCTCTTAATGACCATCTAATGGCAGCATGGCTGGAGCTGGAACAGCTCTTGCGCAATGTGATGCGACCAATGAAAGTAAAAGGAGCAGCCCAAGCCGCAGCCGCAGTTGAAGCTGTACATGAAGCGGATGCTGGGGTCACGTTTCATCACGGCATCTCTTGGGTGGTTTTCAATCTTCAAGTACTGAAATCTCACCACAATTAAATATGAATTTTTGATTGTTTTTTATGACTTTTTTGTTTTTTATAGTTTTTTATTTTTATCTTTTCGCTTTACATGGTGATTTCTGTACAATTGTTTATGATGTTCATAACGATATATGTTTATGGTTTTCGGTAAGGTACATATTTACAAACCTTCAACTTGTTTTTGCTTTATAGTTTTTGAGCTTCATTCTTCATTGAAGTTGAATTCCAATGGCAAATCCAAAAGGCCAATTAATCAATTTTCATAACTTAAAGACAAACGCGCGCATGACTAATTTGTACACTTAAGATATAGATATATAAAAAAGAGAGAGACACAGGAAAAGAAATGGAAAGTGAGCAAAATTTGTCAACAAAATGCAAACGGTATGTGTGTTGCTGTGTGTGTGTGTGTGTGTGTGTGTGTGTGTGTGTGTGTGTGTGTGTGTGTGTGTGTGTGCGTGTTTGTTGAGGATTGGGGATGATGTATGCCAATGCAAACTTAAGTATTAACAATTTTGTAATAACAATTTGTCAGCCAAAAACAAAGAGCGATCGTTTTTGGCAACTGGAAGCCAGGGGGGCAGTTATCAGTTATATCAGTGCTGTCGCATAGTTTGCGAGATTGTTGGAGGGAAGCGCCTGCTGCTTAGTCCCAGCCATGTCCGTGACCATGGCTGATTGGCACCCAGACCTTTTCCCACACTGGCTTCCAGACCTTTTTCCATTCTTGAACCTTGACCTCCTTCCAGACGGGCACCTGCACCGATTGCCATTCATCCTTCCACGCCTGCTTCTTTTCGGTGGCCCAGACTTGTTTCTTTTCGGTGCGCCAGATCTGTACCTTCTCCTCTACCCATGTTTCGCGTTTCTCCTTGATCCAGATTTGCTTCTTGGAGTTCTTCCACACTTGTATCCATTCATCCTTCCATTCAAGTTTCTTGTCTTGCTTCCACTCTTGCACTTTCTCGGTTTTCCATTCCTGCACCTTTTCGGTGCGCCATTCCTGCTTCTTCTCGGTGCGCCATTCCTGTTTCTTTTCAGTGCGCCACACTTTCTTCCACACTGGCTTCCAGATGAGCTTCTTGCGCCACAGATCGTGACTGGTGTACTCCCAACCCTCGTGATCTTTGCCCAGGAACTTTTCGCCAGGTATGCCCATTTTCACCTAGCATGATTGTTGTTGGAATTAAGTTTGGCACAATGCCGTTTGATTGCCTATTTCTTACCCATTGAGGCTCAAACATTTGCTTCCAGTCTGCAACCTGTACTTCCTTCCACACTGGCACCTGAATTTCCTTCCAGAACGGCACTTGGATTTCCTTCCAGATGGGCACCTTGATTTCCTTCCAAACGGCCACTTTTGTGGGCACCCAGATGGGTTTCGTTATCTTCTTCCACTCGGGTACTTTGATGTCCTTCCAAGCGGGCACTTCGCGTTCCTCAATTTTGGGCTTCTTGACTATTTTCCAGTCGGGCACTTGTTCCTCCTTCCAAACGGGCACCTATAGCATGTACGCTTTTTTCAATACATGGATCCTTTTTGCCTGGCTTCCGTCTGCTTACCTGAACCTCCTTCCATATTGGCACCGAAACCTTCTTCCATTTGGTTTCCCATGCCTCTTTTTTCACTGTCTTCCACACCTGCACCCAATCCTCCTTCCACGTAAGCTTCTTTTTCCACACACCTTCGGGCGGATGTGCGTAGGCTATGCTAAGGATTAGCGCGCAGCTGGCGCTGAGTAGCTGTGGGCGGCAGAGAAGCGCAGATAATCGATTAAAAACTTTCCAGGCCAACGTTTTCAAACTTAAGATCACTTTTTTCGCAAAAATTTTTAGTTAACGTATTTTCTTTCATAATTTTTGTAATTATTTTTTTTACACACTGCAATTCACTTTTTTTTTAGGACTTTTGAACTTTTCAACACTTTGAACCGTTATGTGTTAATGCATATGCAATGTAACGCGAAACTAACCAACAGATTTAGGGATCTCATGCTTGGAATCCCTGTACCACCAACAGCGCGTTAAAACAAAAGAGCTGAAATGTGCCTCCGCTGAGGTCTTCTATGAACACTATTCGCATTTCCCTACATGCACATCTATTTATATTTTGAATGCGAAGCGCCAAAGAAACGCAGCGACGTCGGCGTCGCAGCGGCAAAAAACAGCAACAATTTTGCCCAAAAAAGCAACAAACAGCAGGCGATCGCAGCAGCGGACGCCAGCAGCGGCTCTTTGGTCTGTTGCTGTGCCTATCTGCATGTGTGCATGTGTGCCTTTGTGTGTGTGTGGGGACACGGTCGAGCCGCTGCCGCTGCTGCTGCTGCTGCCACAAAGCTTTCGGTCACAGCTTCAGTTTGAGCTTTAGTCTCGGCTGAAAGCGCCCGCTTGTCGCCCAATGTGCAAAATGCACGCAACTGCCAATACCTACGCCAACGCCGACACCGACGCCAGCGTCGCTGCCAGCGTCATCGAAAGCGAAAGAGCCCAATGAGAGTGAGAGTAAAGCGGCACTGGGGGCTCCGTGAGAGCGCTCAGCGTTGCCGTTTGTTTTGTCTTTCGTTGTGTGACGACCCCAACTGAATGATGAATTGGACTCGGCCTGACGATGACTGCTCGGATTTTCCCAAGGTAAATCAGACGCAGCAGCCGTAGCCGCAGTCGCAATCTTCAAATTTTTGCGCCATGGTCTTGGAGCTGAAGTGCGCGTAGGAGATTTGGTTGATCTCAAGCGCAAATGTGATTGCGTGTGCCCCAAAGCTAGAATGTGTCGACGCGTCCACTGATTAACCGACTAACGACGGACGACTGCCCCCCACAGGCTGACAGCTAATTATGTTGCTAATAATGATGTCCAAGCTGTTAATTGCGTGCGGGCCAATACTGCATAAGGTCAAATGCGGCTGTGGGCGTCGCAGGCTGCTACAGTTATTGGTTAAGAGGCTACGTGCGTGCATTTTATACGACATGTTTAGCTTGGTTAACTGAACTTGAGTGGCAAACAATTAGCACAGTTCGGGTTTGGCCTGCAATTCGCCAAAAAAAAAAAAAGTCAAAGCGCCGACAGGCATTTGTGTAAACAAAAAAACAAACGACCTTCGCAACGGGACGCAGCATGAAGACGTAAAGCGATGACGAAGGCAACAACAGTAACAGTAACACTAACAACACTTGTGTTGGTGCGCTGGTGCTCCGCTTCAGCGGATCTGGGGGCCACCAATCGTTGTCTAGCACTAAATGGCATTTAACATTTTTTAGCATGGTAATAAGGTGCGCATTTTATGACGGACCCCCAAACATAACAACAGAAATGGCCATTATAAGTTTAATAAATGCGCAATTAACACTTACCAAGAAGTCGGCTTCTGCCGGGCAGCTACTGTCTGCATAGTTGACCCTTTGCTTTTCAAAACACGAATATAAATTGCGATTAAAACTTGAAAAAATGCATTCTAAGTGTGGTCGCGTATCACTAATAGCTTTTTGGCAAAAAACTGGGTGTAGCCAGATCGGGTGTGACTATGTGCTGTGTTGTGTTGCCATCCAATTGGCAGCCTCATAAATAATATGCAAAAGTTGTAATTGACAGTGTCCACAAAATCAACAGTGTGCACAACAACAACAAGCAGCAGCAGTGGTTACATCACAACCCAAAAGCACAGAAGGAGCAGCGGCAGGAGGTGGGGCAGCTGCATGAAATTGCAGTTGCGGCCTTCAACGCAAAAAGTAAAGAAAAGAAGTGCACAACAGACAGCGAAGACACAACGGTGGCAACGCCAACAGCTGCGACATGTTAAGCCCATTTACAACAAAAATAAAAGAAAAGAAACGAAATGAAATGAAGAAAAAAAAACCGAAACTTGAAATTAGGTAAAAATACACAGCGCAAATCAAGGAAAATGAAACTGAAAATAATGAAGAATGCGCAACGTCAGCAACAATAAGAGCCAAAGCGTAACTCGGCTCAGACACAGGCACAAGCCCAGCTCAGACCAGGCCCAGTCCCAGTCCCAGTCGCAGTCGTAATCCCGGGCCTGTGCATGTGCAGTGGGTCCACTTGACTTGGTTTTGTTTCGGTCCCAGACTCGATTGCGCTTCTACAAACGAATTGAAATGAAATTGAAATTCCTGTAACGTGCACCAACAACAATGCGGCGACTTGTGGATCAAGTTTTGGTTTTGTTTTCTTTTTTTGTTTTTTGTTGACGTTTTGGTTTTGATTTTGGTTTCGTTTTCAGTTTCTTTGGCGCGAAGATGTCGTGGACGCAGGCGCTGCAGGCGACGTAAACACCTTTCGCCGTTGCTGGAGTCCCTGCCGGTTGCATAATTAATGGCATCTTCTCATTGATCTCGACGTTTATTTAGGTTATGCATGGCCAACTTTTGGCATATGAAGTGGAACAAGTTTTTTTTTTTTAATGACCGGCTGCATGAGCTGAAGGACTTGTATCGACACAAATGGACAATAAATAAGAAACATTTATATACATTACCGCCGATGGGAAAATGGGACATGCAGCCAGTTTGAACGTCTATATTAAGATGTACATTACAAATAACTAGTTTTTCATTACAGTCCAAAGCGCGCTATTTCCTTACGACTTTTCCATTTGGGAAAAACGCTGGAAGGTCTGCACTTAGAGAGCAACTCACAAGGCCCATGTTACTCCAAGGTCTCAGACTCATGCTCTTGCAGCTGGAGATGGCGGCAGGAAGACGTGTCAAGCAATGCTGTACAAGGACCCAAACTTTCCCTAGTATAAATTACTTTTAAGTTGTAATTGAATTCTTAACTTGAAACTAGTTTTAAACGACACAAATTCAGCATATTCAGCCCTTTCCAATCACTTGTAGACTTCGATTGTTTAGGCCTAGCAGCATATTCACCTGGAATGTTGCAACATAACAATTACAACAAAACAAACACGCCTTTTGGCCTTCAATCAGACGCTTAATGGGCACTAATCCCAACGTGAAATTCCACTCTGAACCTCTTAAGACTCTTCCTGCAGCGTCATCGTCAAGTGTAAGCGTCTTTGACATATCGCGCCTGTAATTGCTTTTATTGCTTGCTCGGCTCGCGGCGCACTCGGTTGCTCCAATTCGTTACATGGTCGCGCATCACCAGCCGGTGCCAGGCTGTAGCTGCAGGTGCGCTCGGCTCAAGTGTTGACGGTAATGTTATTGTTACCACTCTTGCAGTTGACCCACATAGAGCGTAAATGAAATTAAAGCCGATTGCTGCAGCATGCGAGCCCCAAAACAGATATCTCGGGCAGTTCAGCAGATTGCCCGCTGACCGGTTGCATCATTGCCCCCGCCACAGTTCCAGACGAGCCGCAGCCAATTGGGTGCGACGTTTTGTCAGCGCAATTTCAATTAAATGCAGCATTAATTGCTCAGGTGCGCGCATTGTAAGCCGGAGATTTAGTTGAAGCTAGAGAAGCGTCCGCCGCAGGTGGCCAACTCAACTTGTACATGACTTCTTGTTGGCATTAAGTGTTACATGAAATCGAAATCCATAAGATCTGCGAATCTTCAGAGAGGTGCGTTTCTGCGCCAAGGTCGACCGGACTACAGCGCTGGACCAGGTTAACAGCTTGTTATGCGGATCATACCAGGTACTGGCTGCCCAGATAGACTCGCAGCATTAACAGTTATTTATGGTGGCTATAAGCGCTTGGCGCTGTTGCAATCACGACTGCGGTAATCTTGCCCATAAAGCAGAAGAGGTCGACATCGCGGCAGCACACAAGCACGCACACCCAGAACGGGCTAGGCTAATGATGAAAACGCTTTGGCATGCCCATCGTGGCGCTGTCCTGCAACAGATGCAGCGCTGTGCAGCACACGAAACCGGCTCAGTCGCTTAGTGGTTCAGCTTCGGTGCTGGGGAGATCTGCCCACAGGCTTCAGGCGGGCATTACGCAATCGGGCAAAAGCAAACGTAGCCAAGCCAAGCCAAGCTGCGCACTGTCAGAGGTCTCACATTCCAATTTGCGTAGCGTCGCCAGCGTTGCGCTCCTCCTGGTCATGTGACTGCTGCAGCAGCTGTGCGCGCGCGCGCAGATTTCCTCATGGCTAAGCGGCTCAGATTGATGAAGACACCTGGAACGAGACTGCAACAGCAATATTTTTTATTGCAACCATTTGACAAATATTGCTAATTAAACAGCGTTTGGCAATAGGCAATAGACGCCTACAAAGCGCAGACGCTGGCCCAGGCTCTGGGCATAAAGCGGAAGTTTGGGCGCCATCTTCCTGCCGCCGAAACACAATTGGCCATTGCGCAATCGGGCTGGCCCGCGACTAACACACACACACACACACGAACAACAGGTGTCGCTGCTTTTGCTGAAGATGCAGCCGCGTTACGTCAGCCCAAGACTTTCACATGGCTCACTCCGATTGAGCTGGCCAAGTAGTTGGCGCTGTCTGATTGAATGCTGTCCGTACAATTGTCTGGCTAAGTACTCCAACAGCCTGCGAGGAGGCAGCAGCAGCTCCAATGTAAATTAAGTTATTTTATGTGCGTGCGAATCTTTCAGGCTGTGTGTGGCTTGGCTCATCAACAAGTATGTTAATTCATTCAGCGTTTTTTTATGGCATTTATTTGTCTATCTCCATGTGCGTGTGTGTATGTATGTGTGTGTGTATGTATGTATGTGTTGCAACTGCAACATTTGCGTGCATTTTGTCGTGCGCCGCCTTTTTGTGATTTTTTTGTACAAGTTTTAATGCTTTCAACTGTTGTTCCGCTTGTAATAGCCAAAAAGAAAAAAGACGCTGCACAGTGGTTCGCTTTACAGATGCTTATCGCCTTGAAGGTCTTCACATGCAGACCGCAGGCCAACTTTTCATTTACTTAGTTTTTCCACGCCAATTAGCTTAAATTCCCATCAGATCTTTTATATAATGCGCGCAGATGTGCTCAGACTTTTATGAGATTTTAAATGCTGCCAGACAGTTTTTAGGCTGCTTAGCAAATTGTATTTAATATGCCAATTAACGTGTCGAAATTTAAGGATACGGCTACTCTAATTTTTGCCCAAAATGATTTTGTCCATATGCGGACACATTTAAAATATATTTAAATGGAAAAAAGACTGGAAGTATATCAAATATATAGCACTTACCCACCACTGTGCCTGCAGTATCTACTTGTTGTTGTTTCAGGCTGTGGCACACAAAAAAATGTGTGTTGTGTGCGCTTTGTTTGGCCAACTTTTTGTCAGCTCCAGTCATTTGCCACACATTGACAGGCAGCCAACAAGGAAGTTGGGAGCGCATCTTCCACGCGCGTCCAATTATGACAAATGGCAACAGCGATCGCCCACCGCCAAGGCTGTTAGTCATGTTGCATGTCACGAGCACGAGGAACTGAGCAGCCAGCTATGAATTATGGCTTGCAACACCTGCCAGCCAATTGCCCTGCGGCTGCCTTTTGTGGCAGCAGCAACAACAATAAATCCAATGCGACCATTGTCATTGTCGCTTGCCAAGAGGAGCAGGCACTTACCAACACTGTAAGGGGGGCGCGGTTGCGGCGGCAGCGAGTGTGCAAAATGTGTTTACGGCTTTAACGACACCTTGTTGCAATTCTCAGCTGTCATGATGATGATGTCTATTGACCCAGTGCACATTGGCTGGCTCCTGCTGAAGGCCACGCTAACTTGCGGGTGACATAATATGCCAATTTGGCAAAACGACTGCCAATGCGGAGCATCCATTTAAGTACTTGATATTATTTGCCAGCGCTCTGCTATTTACGCGCATTTGATGTCTATTTCGTTATATGGCCAACAGCACGAGCCGCACGTTTACGTGAGCTGCGTTATATTGCAGCCGGGACACGCCCCCGCCCTGTTTTATTTGAGTGTCGCAATTGGCCACGCAAAAGATTGCAACGTCATGGCAAAAATCGAAATAATTGTATCACATTTGGGTCAACATCAGCGCGAACAATCTAATAAAATCATCTTCAAAATCTGCGCACTACATCATATTTTTTGTGGCTCTGCGATTCAACGTTGTTGAATTATGAAATAGGCGCTATTAACGTCGCGACCTTATCGACTTTCAATTGCTGGCGCTAAGCGGTTTTAACTTAAAAAATTAAAAAAAAAAGTCCAAAAAATTCAAAAAATCATCGACAACAAAGGTGTCGATTAATTAAGTCGGCATTGAACCTCACACGCATCATAAAACATACCCATTAGCCGGCTAATACACGGCATTTGCAGCTAACGATTTGATAGATAGTTCGGCTTGTTTTGTTTTCTTTTCTTTTCCGATCTGTCGACGGGCCGTCCCTCCCTCCTTCCGTCCGTCCGTCCGCCCACTGCTCTGGCGGAGACTGTGCTAAGTGCACATCATTAAAATTGGTACACATGCCACCATATATTTGTGGGGGTCAAGGGGCGTATTCACGCGCTCTGTGCCTACGACCTGGCCAGTTAAGAGTTACCACCAGTCCAGTTAAGAGTTACCACCAGCACCACGGCTGGTTGCGTAAGCTGCGATGCCGCAGTTCCACTTTCGGTCTTTAACAAGCGACGCA